ACCAAGAAAATGAAATTTTTAAAAATTAAAAAAGAAAAAAATGTATTTAAAAAAGAAAAAAAAATATATTGGAAAAAAACAAAGTTACTTTAATTTCTTTCTTTAATATCAGGAAATTTTGATTTGGGTTAAAAAGAGAAAAAAAAATACTAAAAATAAATAAATTGTTTGAACTCTATAATCTAATTCTCTGTTGTCCCATGCAATTATCTGTCTGTCTTTATCCTTAAAAGGTACTACCTTTAGCCTCACATTGTTTATAAACAAATTCAAGCAAAGAATTGCACCGAGGTAGGTTCGGGTTCCCTCTTTCCTCTTTCCTTGAATTAGTAGTGGAACGTATATCTCAAAAGTTCATGTGAAATTAGAATGAGATGGATTATTTAGAGAAAAAAATACTGAAAATAAATAACATTTAAATAGATTTGAATTGAATTAACTACGGAATGGTATGTTATTGATGATATCTTCCTTGGCATTTTCTAGGGAGGTTTATGCATCACATCGTCCAAATTTTATTACTTTCATATATCATGACATGATCATATCATAATGTAGCTTATCATGACATAATATATTTTGTTATGGTGTAATATAACATGACATACCTTTGACATGACATAACAGTTAGGATATCATTACACATAACTTACACCTAACATCATATAACATATCACTTATGATACCATAATATAACATCACATAACATAAAGTCATATATCCTAATATAATATTCAAGCATACGACACATGTAGGGGCCATCATGTCATAGCATAATATTTAAGCATATGACACATGTAGGAACAACGTATAAATAAATAAAAAATTAATAACATAAAAATAAAACAAAATCTCTTCATTAATTAAAGAGAGAGAGCAGTTGTCTCTAGCTCTTTTTTGTCTTCTAAGAGAGAGATTGAGAGAGAGCGGTTTCGTCTCCCTTTGAGAGAGTGCGGTTTCGAGCGGTTTCGTCTCCCTTTGAGAGAGTGCGGTTTCGAGCGGTTTCGTCTCCCTTTGAGAGAGTGCGGTTTCGAGCGGTTTCGACTCCCTTTGAGAGAGGGCGGTTTCGACTCCCTTTGAGAGAGAAAGAGGGCGGTTTCGACTCCCTTTGAGAGAGAAAGAGGGCGGTTTCGACTCCCTTCGAGAGAGAAAGAGGGCGGTTTCGTCTACGTTTGAGAGAGGGCGGTTTCGTCTCCCTTTGAGAGAGAGAGGGCGGTTTCGTCTCCCTTTGAGAGAGAGAGGGCGGTTTCGACTCCCTTTTAGAAGAATGATTTCGTTTCCGTTTAACAAGTAAGAGAGAGCGCTCTTTCGTCTCTCTTTGAGAGAGAGAAAGAGAGAGAGCGCGGTTTCCTCTCTCTTTGAGAGCGCGGTTTTGTCTCCCTTTGATTGAGAGAGAGAGCGGTTTCGTCTCCCTTTGATTGAGAGAGAGAGCGGTTTCGTCTTATTTTGAGAGAGAGAGAGCGGTTTCGTCTTATTTTGAGAGAGAGAGAGCGGTTTCGTCTTATTTTGAGAGAGATAGAGTGGTTTCGTCTTATTTTGAGAGAGATAGAGTGGTTTCGTCTTATTTTGAGAGAGAGAAAGAGAGAACAATTTTGTCTCATTTTGATTTCGTTTCCGTTTAACAAGTAAGAGAGAGCGCGGTTTCGTCTCTCTTTGAGAGAGCGGTTTTGTCTCATTTTGAGAGAGAGATAGAGCGGTTTCCTCTCTCTTTGAGAGAGTGGTTTTGTCTCCCTTTGATTGAGAGAGAGAGCGGTTTCGTCTCCTTAAGAGAGAAAGAGAGAGCAGTTTTGTCTCATTTTGAGAGAGATAGAGCGGTTTCGCAATTTTGTCTCATTTTGAGAGAGAGCAGTTTTGTCTCATTTTGAGAGAGATAGAGCGGTTTCGCAATTTTGTCTCATTTTGAGAGAGATAGAGCGGTTTCGCAATTTTGTCTCATTTTGAGAGAGAGATAGAGCGGTTTCGCAATTTTGTCTCATTTTGAGAGAGATAGAGCGGTTTCGCAATTTTGTCTCATTTTGAGAGAGAGAGATAGAGCGGTTTTATCTTATTTTGAGAGAGAGAAAGAGAGAGCAATTTCGTCTTATTTTGAGAGAGAGATAGAGCGGTTTCGTCTTATTTTGAGAGAGAGAAAGAGAGCAATTTTGTCTCATTTTGAGAGAGAGATAGAGCGGTTTTATCTTATTTTGAGAGAGAGAAGTTTTATCTTATTTTGAGAGAGAGAAAGAGAGAGCAATTTTGTCTCATTTTGAGAGAGAGATAGAGCGGTTTCCTCTCTCTTTGAGAGAGCGGTTTCCTCTCTCTTTGAGAGAGCGGTTTCCTCTCTCTTTGAGAGAGCGGTTTCCTCTCTCTTTGATTGAGAGAGAGAGCGGTTTTGTCTCCCTTTGATTGAGAGAGAGAGCGGTTTCGTCTCCTTAGGAGAGAAAGAGAGAGCAATTTTGTCTCCCTTTGATTGAGAGAGAGAGCGGTTTCGTCTCCTTAGGAGAGAAAGAGAGAGCAATTTTGTCTCATTTTGAGAGAGATAGAGCGGTTTCGTCTTATTTTGAGAGAGAGAAAGAGAGAGCAATTTTGTCTCATTTTGAGAGAGAGATAGAGCGGTTTTATCTTATTTTGAGAGAGAGAAAGAGAGAGCAATTTTGTCTCATTTTGAGAGAGAGATAGAGCGGTTTCGTCTTATTTTGAGAGAGAGAAAGAGAGAGCAATTTTGTCTCATTTTGAGAGAGAGAGATAGAGCGGTTTCGTCTTATTTTGAGAGAGAGAAAGAGAGAGAGAGTGATTTTGTCTCCGTTGAGAGAGTGAGAGAGGGAGAGAGCGGTTTCGTCTTTCTCAAAGAGAGAGAGAGTGGTTTTGTCTCCGTTGAGAGAGTTAGAGAGAGAGAGAGCGGTTTCGTCTTTCTCAAAGAGAGAGAGCAGTTTCATCTCCCTTTGAGAGAGAGAGGTTTCGTCTCCCTTTGAGACAAAGAGGTTTCGTCTCACTTTGATAGAGAGAGCGGTTTCGTCTCCCTCTGAGGGAGTGGTTTCGTCTCCCATTGAGAGAGAGAGAGAGAGAGAGGGAGGGCGGTTTCGTCACTCTTCGAGAAAAAGAGAGCGATTTTGTCTCCCTTTGAGAGAGAGAGAGAGCATTTTCGTCTCCTTTAAGAGAGAGATAGAGTAGTTTCATCTCCCTTTGAGAGAGAGTTGTTTTGTCTCCCTTTGAGAGGGAGAGAGAGAGAGCAATTTTGTCTCCGAGAGAGAGGGAGAGAGCAATTTTGTGTCCCTTTGAGAGAGAGAGCAATTTTGTCTCCCTTTGAGAGAGAGAGAGGGAGAGCGGTTTCGTCCCGCTTTGAGAGAGAGAGCGGTTTCGTCCCGCTTTTGAGAGAGAGAGTGGTTTCGTCTGCTTTTGAGAGAGAGAGAGGGAGAGCGGCTTTGTCTACTTTGAAAGAGAGAGAGAGGTTTCGTCTCTCTTTAAGATTGAGAAAGCAATTTCATCCCCTTTTGAGAGAGAGAAGTTTCGTCTCCCTTTGGAAGAGGAATAGAGAAGTTTTGTCTCCCTCAGAGAGAGAGAGTGGTTCATCTCCATTTGAGAGAGAGCGGTTTCTTCTCTCTAAGAGATAGAGAGAGCAATTTTGTCTCCCTTTGAGAGAGAGAGAGAGCGATTTCGTCCCGCTTTGAGAGGGAGAGCGGTTTCGTCCCACTTTTGAGAGAGAGAGTGATTTCGTCTGCTTTTGAGACAGAGAGAGGGAGAGCGGTTTCGTCCCGCTTTTGAGAGAGAGAGAGAGGGAGAGCGGTTTCGTCTGCTTTTGAGAGAGAGAGAGAGCGGCTTTGTCTACTTTGAAAGAGAGAGAGAGGTTTCGTCTCTCTTTAAGATTGAGAAAGCAATTTCATCCCCTTTTGAGAGAGAGAAGTTTCGTCTCCCTTTGAAAGAGGAATAGAGAAGTTTCGTCTCCCTTTGAAAAAGGAATAGAGAAGTTTTGTCTCCCTCAGAGAGAGAGAGAGTGGTTCATCTCCATTTGAGAGAGAGCGGTTTCTTCTCTCTAAGAGATAGAGAGAGATCGGTTTCGTCTCCCATTGAGAGAGAGAGAAAGCGGTTTTGTCTACCCTTGAGAGACTGAGAGAGCGGTTTTGTCTCTCTTTAAGAGAGAGAGAGCGGTTTCATCTCTCTTTAAGAGAGAGAGAGCGGTTTCGTCTCCCTTGAAGAAAGAGAGGTTCTGTCTCCCTCCGAGAGAGAGAGAGAGAGCGGTTTGTCTCCCGAGAGAGAGATTTTGTCTCCCTTTAAGAGGGAGAAAGAGAGAGTGGTTTCGTCCCGCTTTAAGAGAGAGAGAGAGAGCGTCGTCTCCCTTAGAGAGGGTGCAGTTTCGTCTCCCTTCGAAAGAGGGAGAGAGGTTTCATCTCCCTTCGAAAGAGAGAGAGCGGTTTCGTCTCCCTATGAGAAAGAGAGAGAGAGAGCTGTTTCGTCTCCTTTTGAGAAAGAGGGAGAGAGAACAGTTTCGTCCCCCTTTGAGAAAGAGAGAGAGAGAGCAGTTTCGTCTGCCTTCGAGAGAGAGAGAGTAGTTTTGTCTCTCTTTGAGATTGAGAGAGTAGTTTTGTCTCCTTTTGAGAGAGAGAGAGCGGTTTATCTCCCTTTGAGAGAGAGAGGAAACAAAGGGCATATACTCTCTCCATAATCCACGAATAAGATAACGCCGTAATCGAGCCTCACTCACTGGTTCTTCAGCATCTAATTCTGAAATTTCAGAACACAAATTTTTCACTTTCAAAAAATATTCTTTAACAGAAAAATTACCTTGAGTTACCATAGCTAGTTCATTCTCTAGAAATTACGAGCAGTATTTTTCTTAGTGAACAACTTTTGAAGTGTATCCCATACTTGCTTTGGTGACTTTAAATCACGAACATGATCAATATACTTCTTGTTAATCAAAGTTCGCAAGGTAAATAAGGCTTTTCCGCATTTGATCTTCCATTGTTGACGTAATTTTACATTCTGTGGAGTATCGGCTGGAATTTCTATGTCATCGCCTTCAATTAAATAACACAAATCTTGCCCTTGTAGATAAGCTTCCATGCATAACTTCCAATAACAACCAGCTTTTCCATAGCTATACCGATAGAAGCACTTCCACCATTCATCTCAATAAGCCAACCAGCTTTTCCATAGCTATACCGATAGAAGCACTTCCACCATTCATCTCAATAAGTAATAATATCAAACCGTACCAACTTGACTCTGATACCAACTGTCACAATATCTCACGCTCAAAGGTGTGAATAAATATGAAACTATTATTACTCAAAGATAGTAATACAAGGACAATTGAAATAATAAACGGGTTTATTGTGGCTTTTGTTTTAATAAGCGGAGGGCTCTTATTTAAACAAAAATAAATCCTAAAAACAGCTCCTACAAAAACTCTAGTGAAATAAACTATTCCTCTTAAATGGCTTAACAACTTTCCTAATTCCATATAAAATAAATTGCACTAATTTTGACATCTCTCTCTTTCAAGGACTCTCAAGGAGACGAAACTGCTCTCTCTCTCAAGGAGATGAAACCGCTCTATCTCTCTCTCTTTCAAGGACTCTCAGGGAGACGAAACCGCTCTCTCTCTCTCTTTTTCAAGGACTCTCAAGGAGACTAAACCACTCTCTTTCTCTCTTTCAAGGACTCTCAAGGAGACGAAATCGCTCTCTCTCTCTTTCAAGGACTCTCAAGAAGCCGAAACCACTCTCTCTCTCTCTTTCAAGGACTCTCAAGGAGACGAAACCTCTCTCTCTCAAGGACTCTCAAGGAGACCAAATCTCTATCTCAAAAGGAGACGAAACCGCGCTCTCTCTCGAAGGGAGACAAAACATCTAACCCTCTTAAAGGGAGACAATACCATTCTCTCTCTCAAATAGAGACAAAATCGCTCTCTCACTCTCAAAGTGAGACGAAACCGCTCTCTCTCTCTCTCAAAGGGAAACGAAACATCTCATTCTCTTAACCGGAGACGAAACCGCTCTCTCTCTCCCTCCCTCCCTCCCTCCCTCAAAGGGAGACAAAACCTCTCTCTCAGAAGGAGACAAACTGCTCTCGATCAAAGAGAGATCGCTCTCTCACTCTCAAAGTGAGACGAAACCGCTCTCTCTCTCTCTCAAAGGGAAACGAAACATCTCATTCTCTTAACCGGAGACGAAACCGCTCTCTCTCTCCCTCCCTCCCTCCCTCCCTCAAAGGGAGACAAAACCTCTCTCTCAGAAGGAGACAAACTGCTCTCGATCAAAGAGAGATCGCTCTCTCACTCTCAAAGTGAGACGAAACCGCTCTCTCTCTCTCTCTCAAAGGGAAACGAAACATCTCATTCTCTTAACCGGAGACGAAACCGCTCTCTCTCTCCCTCCCTNCCCCCCCCCCCCCCTCCCTCTCTCCCTCAAAGAGAGACAAAAACCGCTCTCTCTCAAAATGAGACAAAAACCGCTTGTTAGACGAACACGACTCTCCACAATGATATGATATTGTCCACTTTGAGCATAAGCTCTCATGGTTTTGCTTTGCGCTTCCCCAAAAGGCCTCACACCAATGGAGAGTGTATTCTTAGATTATAAACCCATGACCATTCCTTAAATTACCAATGTGGGACACTTTCATCCAACACTGCTCTCTCTCGAAGAGAGACGAAACCACTATTTCTCAAAGGGAGACGAAACCGCTCTCTCACTCTCTCAAAGGTAGACGAAAACGCTCTCTCTCTCTCTCTCAAAGCGAGATGAACACGCTCTCTCTCTCTCAAAGGGAGACGAAATCGCTCTCTTTCTCAAAAGGAGACGAAACCACTCTCTTTCTATCTCCTTCAAAGGGAGACGAAACTGCTCTCTCTCTCAAAGGGAGACCTAACTACTCTCTCTCTCTATCAAATGGAGATGAAACCGCTCTCTATCAAAGGCAGACGAAACCCCTTTCTCTCAAAGGGAGACGAAACCACCCTCTCTCAAAGGAAGACGAAACCTCTCTCTTTCAAAGGGAGATGAAACCGCTCTCGATCAAAGGTTGACGATACCGCTCTTTCTCTCTCTCAAAGTGAGACGAAACCACTCTCGATGAAAGGGAGACGAAATCGCTCTCTCTCTCTCTCAAAGGGAGACGAAACCCCTTCTCTCAAAGGAAAGGGAGACGAAACCACTCTCTCTCTCTCTTTCTCTCTGAAAGGGAGACGAAACCTCTCTCTCTCAAAGGGAGATGAAACCGCTCTCGATCAAAGGGAGATGATGCCCCTCTTTCTCTCTCTCAAAGGGAGATGAAACCTCTCTCTCTCAAAAGGAGACAAAATTGCTCTCTCAATCTCAAAGAGAGACGAAACCACTCTCTCTCTCTCTCGAAGGCAGACGAACTGCTCTCTCTCTCTTTTTCTCAATGGGAGACGAAACCGCTCTCTCTCTCTCTCAAAGAGACACGAAACCTCTCTTCCTCTTTCGAAGGGAGACGAAACTGCACCCTCTCTCTCAAAGGGAGACGACACACTCTCTCTCTCTCTCAAAGCGAGACGAAACCACTCTCTCTTTCTCCCTCTCAAAGGGAGACAAATTCTCTCTCTTTCAAAGGGAGACAAACTGATCTCCCTCTCTCTCTCTCAAAGGGAGATAGAACCTCTCTCTCTTAAAGGGAGACAAAACCGCTCTCTCTGTCTCTCAGAGGTAGACGAAACCGCTCTCTCTCTCTCTCAAAGAAAGACGAAACCGCTCTCTCAGTCTCTCAAAGTTAGACGAAACCGCTCTCTCTCTCTCAAATGGAGACGAAACCATTCTCTCTCTCTGAGGGAGACGAAACAGCTCTATCCCTCTTTCAAAGGGAGACGAAACCTCTTCCTCTCAATCTCAAAGAGCGACGAAGCAGCTCTCTCTCTCTCTCAAAAGTAGACGAAACCACTCTCTCTCTCTCTCAAAGGCAGACAAAACTGCTCTCTCTCTCTCAAAGGAGACGAAACATCTCTCTCTCTTTCGAATGGAGACGAAACCGCACTCTCTCTCTCTCTCTCAAAGGGAGACGAAACCACTCTCTCTCAAAGGGAGATGAAACTACTTTATCTCTCTCTTGAAGGGAGACGAAAATGCTCTCTCTCTCTCTCAAAGGGAGACCAAAATCACTCTCTTTTTCTCGAAGGGTGACGAAATCGCCCTCCCTCTCTCTCTCTCTCTCTCAATGAGAGACGAAATCACTCTCTCTCAATGGGAGACGAAACCGCTTCCTCTCTCTCCCTCTCAAAGGGAGACGAAACCGCTCTCTCTCTATCAAAGTGAGACGGAACCTATCTGTCTCAAAGGGAGACGAGACCACTCTCTCTCAAAGGGAGATGAAACTGCTCTCTCTCTCTCCCGAAGGCAGATGAAACTACTCTCTCTCTCTCTCAAAGGGAGACAAAACTGCTCTTTCTCTCTCCCTCTCAAAGGGGGAGGAAACCACTCTCTCTTAAAGGGAGATGAAAATGCTCTCTCTCTCTCTCAAAGGGAGACAAAATCGCTCTCTCTTTCTCGAAGGGTGACGAAACTGCCCTCCCTCTCTCTCTCTCTCAATGGGAGATGAAACCTCTCTCTCTCAGAGGGAGACAAAACCGCTCTCTCTTTATCAAAGTGAGACGAAACCTCTCTGTCCCAAAGGGAGACGAAACCACTCTCTCTCAAAGGGAGATGAAATTGCTCTCTCTCAAAGGGAGATGAAATTGCTCTCTCACAAAGGGATTCAAAACCGCTCTCTCACTCTCTCAACGGAGATAAAACCACTCTCTCTCTCTCTCAAAATAAGACGAAACCGCTCTCTCTCTCTCTCTCTCAAAGGGAGACAAAACCGCTCTCTCTCACTCTCTCAACAGAGACGAAACCGCTCTCTCTCACTCTCTCAACAGAGACGAAACCGCTCTCTCTCTCTCTTTCTCTCTCAAAGGGAGTCAAAGTCGCTCTCTCTCTCTCTCAAAGGGAGTCAAAGTCGCTCTCTCTCTCTCTCAAAGGGAGTCAAAGTCGCTCTCTCTCTCTCAAAGGGAGTCAAAGTCGCTCTCTCTCTCTCAAAGGGAGTCAAAGTCGCTCTCTCTCTCTCAAAGGGAGTCAAAGTCGCTCTCTCTCTCTCAAAGGGAGACGAAACTGCTCTCTCTCTCTCAGAGGGAGACGAAACTGCTCTCTCTCTCTCAGAGAGAGACGAAACCGCTCTCTCTCTCTCTCTCAAAGTCTCTCGTAGGGACGAAAAAAAGAGACAACTGCTCTCTCTCTCTCTCTTTTTCTCTCCTTAATTAATGAACTTATTTTGTTTTATTTTTATTTTATTTTATTTAATTAACTTTTTTTTATTTATATGTTGTTCCTACATGTGTCATATGCTTAAATATTATGCTATGGTATGGTCTCTTTTTTTTATTTATATGTTGTTCCTACATGTGTCATATGCTTAAATATTATGCTATGGTATGGTCTCTCTTAGAGACGAAAAAAAGAGACAACTGCTCTCTCTCTCTTTCTCTCCTTAATTAATGAACTAATTTTGTTTTATTTTTATTTTATTTTATTTTATTAACTTTCTCTTTCTCTCCTTAATTAATGAACTAATTTTGTTTTATTTTTATTTTATTTTATTTTATTAACTTTTTTTATTTATATGTTGTTCCTACATGTGTCATATGCTTAAATATTATGCTATGGTATGGTGGCCCCTACATGTGTCCTATGCTTGAATATTATATTAGGATATATGACTTTATGTTATGTGATGTTATATTATGATATCATAAGTATGATATGTTGTATAATGTTAGGTGTAAGTTATGTGTAATGATATTCTAACTGTTATGTCATGTCGAAGGTATGTCATGTTATGTTACACCATAACAAAATATATTATGTCATGATAAGCTACATTATGATATGATCATGTCATGGTATATGAAAGTAATAAAATTTGGACGATGTGATGCATAAACCTCCCTAGAAAATGTCAAGGAAGATATCATCAATAACATACCCGTCCGTAGTTAATTCAATTCAAATCTATTTAGGATCTTAAACATGTTCATGAACTTAAATGTTATTTATTTTTCATAATCTATCTCATTCAAATTGCACATTAACTTTTGAGATATACGTTCCACTACTAATTCAAGAAAAGAGGAAAGAGGGAGGGAGTTTAGTTCGAACCCAAACCTACCTCCTTTTCCTTTTTTGAATCTCGCTGCTATTGTTTGCTTGGAGGGTAATGGTAGTAACTTCCGTGAGGATAAAGACAGATAATTGCATTGGAAAACAGGGAATTAGATTATAGAGTTACGAACAAGTTATTATTTTTATAGTAATTTTTTTCTCTTTTTAACCCAAATCAAAATTTTCTAATATTAAAGAAAAAAATTAAAGTAAATTATCATTATGTTTTTTTTAATACACTTTTCCTTTTTAAATACACTTTTTCCTTTTTTTAATTTTCAAAAATTTCATTTTCTTGGTACCTTTTATTTCCAATCATTTCTTTGATAAAAATTTTCATTTATCATTCATAGATTTTTTAAAAATTTTAATATTTTTTTAAAATGTAAAATAAAAAAAACTAAAAAATACCAAATAACGAGGTGAAACTCATGATAATGAGGTATATAATTATTAAGTAATAGAATCGAGCATATACATAAATACAATTACCATTAGTTTTGCCATTACACGATTGGCAAAAAAGTAATCAAATGTGCGGTGGTGGACTACCCGATCCAATTCCTCCACGACAACGGGTAATTGCGTTGCAACCACGGTCATCCGTTAGGGGAGGGCTCGGAAATCTCTTATTTGTTATTTTAAGGCAAGCCGGAGGAGGATTTGGTTGATTGCAATTCAAAAAGTCAATGGGTTTACTCTCATTGTCATCTGCTCGGGCCATCACAACCATGCTAATCAAAACTAAGCATATCATCCACAACTTCATCGAAATTTCTGAAAAGAAATTTTATTTTATTTATTTATTTTTTATGAGCTGCGGATGATTTGTATTTTTTTTCCATTTCTTTCCCTATTTATATGTTTTTTAAAATGATAAATTTAAGACAAAATTCCTAAATTTAGTAAATAGTTAAATTTGGAGATCTAAAAATGGATAAGTTCAACCAATTTTGTTGGTGTGAATTATTAATATTATTTATTACAAATAAAATATTATTTCAAAATTTAAAAAAAAAAAAAAATAGGATCAGAGGTGTTTATATGACAAGAGAACGGGACAACTTACCTAAGACTACTTAATCAAGCTTCCTTCTGCTTTTGCACTTGAAGGACGGGTTATTCACATTTCATTTGATGGTCAAAGGCAAATTGAAAGCTAAGCAATGGTAATTCTACAACTTTCTTGATTAAAGTAACAATAACGTCACCAATATGAGCATACCAAAAGAAGGAAAGAGATACTCTATGGCATACGCAAGTAGTAGGACACGAAGGAACAACCTCGAACAACCTTTAACAAAAGAATTCTTGCACATGAAGTCGAATTGGCCTATTTCCTGCGTGTATCAATTGAAGTTTTTTGGATTGGGTTGGGTTCGGTTCGGTTCGGTTGAATTTTTTGAAATTCGAAAATTGAGGTCGGTCTACAGGTTGACATTTTTTGTCGGGCCAACCCAATCAACTCAAAAAATTGGGTAATAGCTCAACGATATCTTACTTTTAAGATTATTAAGAAGTTTAATATTGTGACTTGTGAATGTTTGATATTTAAATTTTATTAGATTTTAGTTACTACTGCAAGTAGATAAGTAAAGTTTTTTTTTTTAAATAATTTAAAAAAAAAGTAACGTGAAAACTCAACTCAAAAATAGAGAGTTAGGTTGTGAACTCTATTCGGGTTGCTCGAGTCATCAACCCAACCTGAAATTTCAGGTTGATTGAGTTGGTGACGTGAATGACCTGAATAAGGCTCACAGCCCAACCTTACCCAAAGCCTTTATTTTCGAGTGGAGTTGAGTTGGGTTGGAACGTTGGATTGTTTGTTTTTTCATTATTTAAAAAATTATACTTATTCACACGTTACATTAATAATAAAATTTTATAAAACTCAAATATCAAACATTTAGTCACAAAACATCACTATTATATGTTTAAAACGTCAAATATTCTTAATTTTCATAATAATCTTAAATACCGATTATGAACCTTATTTTCGGGTTACTTAGATTGATCTGACCAAAAAAGTTCGAGTTTACAAACCAAACTAAATTTTTCGATTTTTTAAAAACTCGATAGAATTTAACCAAATTTATATAAACCCAAACCGTTCCGAAACTAAACCCGTAATTTAATTTATTTAAATGATTGAATTAGATGCTATCCCATTAGTATATCCTCTCTTTATAAAAATAAAGAATATTCCATTTTCAATTCCTTCCTTCAAAAATTCAGTCCATTCCGACATATTCCTTAAATTATTCCTCCGACCAAACCAAATCTTCTTCTATATATAATATTAGCCGAATCAAAAATACAATAATAATGTCGGCTCTTCAACGGCTCATCGGAAGTGGTGACCAGCGTCCGTATCCGCCGTCGAGCTCCGGCAGCGAAAGCGAATACTCGGTCGACGAATGCCTTTCCAAGATGGTGGTTGATTTTCTCGAAGAGTACAGTGGTGGCACGAGTAGTTGGCCAGCGGAAGATTTATCCATCATAATCATATTCTTTACGATACATAACATTGTTGTATCGTTTTATCAATTTATCATAATCATAACATTTTTCTATACATAATCTTATAGCATCATTTTATCAATTTATCATAACCAGAGTGTTTTCTCTATATAACTTTATCGTATCGTTTTATCAATTTATCATGACCATATCTTCTTAGTCATATCGTCTCCCAACGTATCATAAATCATATCGTGTCATGAACGTATCCTAGCCTTACCTTTACGGGAACGCATCCTAACCGTATTGTTTCATGAATGTATCCTAGTCATACTGTTACAGGGAGGTATCCTAGTCATGCTGTTATAGGAACGTATTCTAACCATATCGTTCTATCAATCTATCATAATCATATCATTTTCTATACATAACCGAACCCTATCGTTATATCAATCATATCTTATTAATATCATTACATTACGTTTATTACATCATTTTCGTATCATATCACACACATATCATTGAACACATCATAACATAAGAATTATCATATCGTTCACATATCATAATACATACATAACATATCATAGTCATATCGATTCAGAACCACTGAGCACCATCTCACGATATTATATCGTTTGTAATATATATTAGTGATGCTTTGTGACTTGGGAATGTTTTATATTTGAGTTCTATAAAATTTTAGTTATTAATGTATCATAGAATGTGGATAAGTGTAGTTTTTTAAATAATTAAAAAATAAACAACCCAACGTTTCAACCCAACTCAACTCGAAAACAGAGAGTTTGAGTAAGGTTGCATTGTGAACCCTATTCAGGTCATTCGAGTCACCACTCAACCCACCTGAAATTTCGGGTTGGTTGGGTTGGTGACTCAAGCAACCCGAATAAAGTTCACAACTCAACCCAACTCTCTATTTTTTTTGTTGGGTTGTCAAGTTATGGTAGTAACTAAAGTCTCGTAAAATTCAAATATCAAATATTCACAAGTCACAGAGCATCATTAACATCGGTTACACCCTATTTTTGGGTTGATTTGGTTGACCCGAGAAAAAAAATTGTAACCCTACTTTTGGGTTGATTGCGTTGACCCGATAAAAAAAACAAGTTGACCCGATTAAAAAAAAAAAGTTAACTTAAAGACCAACCTGAATTTTCGAATTTTCAAAAATTCAATCCAACCCAAAAAACTTCAATGGGTACACGCAAGAAATAGGTCAATTTATTCTTGATCCCTTCTAGAACCTGAAATCGTGCCCCACAAAACAATGTGTTCTTAGTTCATCTCAAATGCAAATAAAAGAAATATATTCTCGACTTGGTACTGAATTTCTCTAGTATATATATTTTATCTGGATGATGATGGGAGTGCTGGTTCTCGAGATTGAATCTTTTAGCTTGTTGTCAAGGTCTTCAAAACCGATATTCATAGCCGAGATTTTGGTCTTCAAAACTGGACTTTATAGCATCTCGAGAACCAAAGGACATGGATTCTTCTATTTTTTAACATTGAAAATAAAGGAGAACTCCTCTATTTATAGAGATTTTTAGATTTTGGGCTCTCGACCAGTGACAATCTAAACGTGTCTTTCAGTGATCCTCTTTATAGTGAAGCCAATAAAGAAATGTCCATTGATAGAATGAATGCCAATATAGGACGGTGTATAGATAGGCCGGTGAAACTTAGACTTGAACTTGAACTTGAGGTGAGTGGAACTCGTCCTTTGGCTCTACGCAAAAATAAGTTCTTTGAAATTTATGGAAAACTCGATCTCCGCCGAATATATGGAAAATTTGGGAGAGATGAAGATTGAAAGAGAAGGTGTCGATGATATCAAATCGTGAGACTGACAGTGATGCGTAACAGGTCAAAATTGATAATATCTTCTAGCGATGGACTTTGACCAGCGATACGTAACAGGCTAAAACAGATAATATCAAATCGTGAGCCTGACCATGATACGTAACAGGTTAAAACGAATAATATCTGCTAGCGATTGACTTTCACTAACGATACGTAACAGGTCAAAACGAATAATATCGGCTAGCGATGGACTTTGACCAATGATACGTAATAGGTCAAAACAGATAATATCGGCTAGCGATGGGCTTTGAACAATGATACATAAGTGATATGTAGCAAGTCAAAACGGATAATATCTGCTAGCGATGAACTTTGACCCATGATTCGTAACAGGTCAAAATGGATAATATTTGCTAGCGATGGACTTTGACCAGTGATACGCAAGTGATAAGTAATAGGTCAAAATGGATAATGTTGGCTACATGGAGAAGTGTGTTAGTTAGGAGTTTTAGTAGACAAACCTGGTGTTCTAGTTCGTAGAAACTATTGCAGACTAACCAATCGGCTTCCTCCACGTTTCCAAACTGATTAATCACCACATCGGAGAATCCCGGATATGGGTTCACAACCTGGATAAACGACGGCATATCCGCCGTCGTCAGCGGCGGCATTCCGGCGATCCGAATCTCCTCCTCCGCCACCACCGGCACCTTAATTTCTCCCCTGTAAACATGGTAATAAATGTTATTCACAGCGCAAGACTGTGTGAAATACGCCACCGTCCTCAGCCCGAATTCCTTCCCCACATCCGAAACCCACGGCATAACTCCGTCGTACACCACGGCGTCGATGCGGCGGCCGGCGTCCTCCTTCCGCCGTATCAGATCCCGGAGAGTCTGTGACCCGTCATGCTTGAAGCGGTCGTGGTAGTCGGAGATGGAGACGGCGGAGGGAAATCCGCCGGCGTCGTGGCCGTCGGAGATGGTCTCGACGGAGAACGGCGGAGGGTGGTCGGAGTTGGGTTGGTTATTGAAAAGGAATTTGGTGACGACGAAGGTCACGGCGGCGCCCTTGTGATGGAGACGTTTGGAGAATTGTAAAAGGGGATTTATGTGACCTTGAGCTGGGTATGTAACCACCAGAAGATTAACTTTTTTCCCATTGTTGCCGGTTTTGCCCTCACCGTCCGCCATGGAAATGGGCCCGGAGCTTTTCTCTCTCTCTTTCACAATCTTGAGGTTCTTATGAATGGATAAAATGAGAATTGTTTGTGGATGGTAATAGTCGGAGGATATTTGAGGACCACTGTCGATTAATGACGTGAAAAAGACGATTATTTGAATTGCTACATTTTTTTAACCCACTAGAAAGTTCGGGTTACCACCTGTATAGAGTTTACAATTCAATCCAATCTAATCCTCTATTTTCGAGTTAGAATAAGGTTAGGTTGTAACCCTATTTACAGGTTAGTTAGGCTTGAACTTGAGACGAGCTAAGTTTTAGCTTGATCTTGAACGGAGCGAAACTCAACTTTAAATTTGAGATCGAACAAAGTTTAAATTCAAACTTTAATCGAACAAAACTCGACCTTGAACTTAGAGAGAGTGTAGCTAATAATTTGAAGGCAACTAAGTTTGACATTGCAAGTGAAACACGAGCTTAAGTTCTACCTTGCATTTGAGGTTACTAAAGCTTTGACTGAACTTAACCTTAAATTTGACCTTGAGGGAAGAGACCCTCAACTTTGATAGAAACAAAACTTGACCCAGTGATCAAAGTAAGGGGGTACGCCCAACCTGCTAACTCGAGAATCCAATTCGCCCAACCTACTAACTCGAGAATCCAATTCGACCCAACCTGAATTATAAGGGTTGGATTGCGTTTAAAAGGACTTTGGTTTTGAGTTGGGTTCGGTTTTTGAAACTCGATCTAGATCAAGTTCAAAATTCAAATTATTGAGACAATCCCCCGACCCAACCCAAAAACCTTATAAAGAATGTCCAAGCCCATGTAGTAGAAACCCACGCAGCCCGCCCATGAGTCATGTTGTCTGACCTTGCCACGTAGCACACATGCACTCTTTAAGGTGCAGACTTTCTCTCTCTCATCCTCCATACACAAGATTGAATTAATAATTGTAATGATGATTCTCATCTATCTCATTGTCTCTCTCTGCTCTTCATCTTCATCCTTCTCATCTCACAGCGTTCATCTTCTCATAGCAAACGTCTACGTCGCTCGCCAGTCACCTCTTTATTTCTCCGTCAGACTCTCTTTTTAGCTCCCATTTTTCCACTCGATCTCGTCTTTGTGTTTCTCATCGGACGTCGTTGCCGACTTTCTCTGCGCTTGGCTTTTCGTTCCATTTTCGTCGGTCTTCTACGCTCTGTGTTTCTCATTGGACTTCTCCGCTCGGTGGTAGGTTGCTTCTCCACTTCTTGTCTCTTCTCAGTTCAGAACAACCTGAACCCAACCTGAAAATAGAGGGTTGGGTTGGGTTACCAATCCAACCAACCCGAACGTTTGGGTTGGTTCAAAAAAATCCCTCAACCCAACCTGACCCAGACCATGTACACCCCTAGATCAAAGTTCATCTTGATCTTGAAGCAAGTGAACCTCGACTTTGAATTTAGGGTGAAAGAAGCATGGACTTAAACTTGAAGCGAGCAATAGTTAACCTTAAATGATATAAATCAAGACATCTCAATCGTGTAATATGAACTTCAAGGAAGATGAGCTTCAATTATTTATAGATGGTTTCAAATTTTGGGTGAATATAATCTAGAGTTATGGTGTTTCATTAACGTATTTTAAAATTACATTTACATAGTGGCTAATTATAGTCATAAAATATGAATTTTGTAACTCTTGAAATGCCCGTAGAAGGACAAAGGTTTTATTTTGAGGCTATATGAATCCATATTGTCTTTGTAGAATAGACATGGAAAATTTAGTAAAAAGAGCATTTGAGCTTTCTGTTAAACAAGATCTAAGTTTCTTCGCAATTTTATGCAGTTTAGGTTACAATTATTCAAGCTTGATATGATCGATCTTGTTTGTAGAGTGATTTGAATCTCAAATAAGTTTTCAACAAGGTAATCCAGATCTTACTCTCCCAAGACATGTTTAAGATCATAAACAGGTCTAAATCAACTAATATCGGTGTTATTGATGATACACCATGATGGATGATATCTTCCATGGCCTCGTAGTGTCCAAATTTATCATTTTCATACGTTATGGCATGATCATATCATAATGTAACTTATCATAACATAGCGTAGCTTGTTGTGGTGTAACATAACATGACATAGTATGACATAGCGTGACATAGAATAGAATAACATTACCCAACATAGCTTATCGTAGCTTAGCATCATACAACATAGCATGATTTATCATATCATAATATAACATCACATAACATATCGTAACATAATATTCTCATGTAGGGGCCACCACAACATAACATAACATTCAACCCATGTAGGGCCCACCATAACATAACATAATATTCAACACATGAAGGGTCACGGGACAGGTGTCATCATACACAAAAACACATGAAGGGCCACGAGACATGTGTCATCATACACAAAAACACATGAAGGGCCACGGGACAGGTGTCATCATACACAAAAACACATGAAGGGCCACGAGACATGTGTCATCATACACAAAAACACATGAAGGGCCACGGGACAGGTGTCATCATACACAAAAACACATGAAGGGCCACGAGACATGTGTCATCATACACAAAAACACATGAAGGGCCACGGGACAGGTGTCATCATACACAAAAACACATGAAGGGCCACGAGACATGTGTCATCATACACAAAAACACATGAAGGGCCACGAGACAAGTGTCATCATACACAAGAACAGATGAAAGGCCACGGACAGGTGTCATCATACATAAGAACACATGAAAGGCCATAGGACAGGTGTCATCATACACAAGAACACATGAAGGGCCACGGACAAGTGTCATCATACACAAGAACACATGAAGGGCCACGGACAAGTGTCATCATACACAAGAACACATGAAGGGCCACGGGACAGGTGTCATCATACACAAAAACACATGAAGGGCCACGGACAAGTGTCATCATACACAAGAACACATGAAGGGCCACGGGACAGGTGTCATCATACATAAGAACACATGAAGGGCCACAGGACACGTGTCATCATACACAAAGACACGTGTTATCATAAACAAAGACATGTGTCATCACATGTCATCATACACAAGAACACATGAAGGGCCACGGGACACATGTCATCATACACAAGGACACATGAAGGGTGGACACATGTCATCATACACAAAGACACATGAAGGGCCACGCCACGGGTGTCATCATACACAAGAACACATGACGGGCAGAGGTTCAATGGTAACAAACATTTTGAAAATAGACCAAAAGAAAATAAAAATAAAAATAAAAATAATTAAATTTAAATATTCAAACAGAAACCAATTGGGCAAGAATCTCATCAACAGTACGATCGGAACTTCCGTCGCAATCCACCGCCTGTTTCGCTAACTCTCCCCATTTAGCGGCGTTTTTCCGAATCTCCGTTCCTCCGTTGTCATCCATGACCTTCAAGATGCAATCTGCAACCGTTGTCCGCCGCACTATTCCGGCATCGTCGAGCGGAGCCCTAACTCCGGTCTTCCAAATGTCCGTTACAAACTTGGCATTGGTGGTTTGATCTGTCCACTGCGGCATCGCCACCATGGGAACGCCGATGGTCAAAGCCTCCAGCGTCGAGTTCCAGCCGCAATGCGTCACAAAGCAACCGATCGATTCGTGTGATAAAACATCCAATTGACGGCACCAAGGGACCAATAGCCCTCTGTCCGCCGTCGCTTCTGCAAATTTTGCTGGAATCTTCGCCGCCTCTGTCTCCCTTACCTGTTCAACCGGTACGTTAACGTTAGACCTAATTTTGTTTCATTTTTTTTAATTTAAATTTTATAAAAATAAAAAATAATAAAACAAAATGTCTAATAAATTCTTTAAAAAGTTTTTAAAATCGAGAAAAAGATAATTATTTTTTTTTTAGACCCGGAGACTTTTGATCCTTTGCATTTCTATTTATATTGCTATTTCTTAAACGGGTCAATGTCGGGTCAATGTCGAGTCAATGTCTTATACTTTTGACTAAAACGTCAAACGTTTAAATTTTTAAACACATGTTATCAACGAGGAAAAACTAAAAAAATCTACTGAAGATTAGTGTAAGACTTACCACCCACAAGAAAAAGGAATTGCTTTGTGCCAAACCCCAAGTCAATTCCTCCATTTGCTCGACGCTCAAAGCTGCATAGCTCCCGAACGCTACAAAAACTACTGACGCTTTTGGACGGGCGTCTAGCCATTTTTGGCAAACCTCATTGTTCATTTTGAAAAGGTTGAACCCATAGTCCCTATCGTTGTCTATTCGTTTGTCGGTGTAGAACGATGGTATGTTCGGTCCGATCGTCTTCATGTTCCATTTATTCTCCATCCCTTCTAGCACCTGAAACCTTGCCCCAAAAAACAAAAGGGAATGAGCAAGTGAATGAAGGAAGAAAATCAATCGTGTTCTTTATATCTGTTTGTACATGTATTGATCTGGATCATGACTGGAGTGTTTGTTCTCGAGATTGAATCTTTTGACTTGTTTTCCAACATTTCAAACTTGTAGCTTGTTCTAGAGGTTGAATTGTTAGTTTGTTATTAAAGTCTTCAAGATCGGCCTCCATAACCGAGATTTTGGTCTTCAAAATCGGCTTTTGTAGCATCTTTGGTCTTTGATTCTAAGAGTAGTAGAGAGAACGTCTATTTATAGAGATTTTTAGATTTGAGCTGGATTGACTAGTGACCATTCACTAGTGTAGTGTTGTTTGGTCGGTGACCATTCTGTTATCTTCCTGTCTCCGTCCCTATCGTGTTGCCGAGTCAGTGACCATTCTCTTATTTTCCTATCTCCGTCCCCGCAAAAATAAGTTTTTTGAAATATATGGAAAACCCAATCTCCGAAAAAATATATGAAAATTTTGGGAGAGATGGAGAGGAGATTGAAACAGTAGGTGGGAACTTCCCAAGGGGTGGATCGTGAGAACCCAAGCCGGTGGGAGAGAAGAAGAATCATTTTAATGGTATAGAAATTTCTCTTAATTGGAGGCGTTTTAAAAACCGTGAAGCACGGATAATATCTGCTAGCAATGGACTTTAACAATTACAAATGTTATCAAAGCAAAACACCGAGCAATGGGTAGTGTGCGAACGAGGACGATTTGAAACAAAATTAAAGATTCGGAGTTTTAGTAGACAAACCTGGTGTTCTAGTTCGTAGAAACTGTTGCAGACTAACCAATCGGCTTCCTCCACGTTTCCAAACTGATTAATCACCACATCAGAGAATTCCGGATATGGGTTCCCAACCTGGACAAGCGACGGCATATCCGCCGTCGTCAGCGGCGGCATTCCGGCGATCCGAATCTCCTCCGCCGCCGCCGCCACCACCGGCGCCTTAATTTCTTCCCTGTAAACATGGTAATAAATGTTATTCACAGCGCAGGACTGTGTAAAATACGCCACCGTCCTCAGCCCAAATTCTTTCCCCACATCCAAAACCCACGGCATAAATCCGTCGTACACCACGGCGTCGAACCGGCGGCCGGCGTCCTCCTTCCGCCGAATCAGATCCCGGAGAGTCTGTGACCCGTCGTGCTTGAGGCGGTCGTGATAGTCGGAGATGGAAACGGCGGAGAGAAATCCGCCGGCGTCGTGGCCGTCGGAGATGGTCTCGACGGGAAACGGCGGAGGGTGGTCGGAGTTGGGTTGGTTATTGAAAAGGAATTTGGTGACGACGAAGGTCACGGCGGCGCCCTTGTGATGGAGACGTTTGGAGAATTGTAAAAGGGGATTTATGTGACCTTGAGCTGGGTATGTAACCACCAGAAGATTAACTTTTTTCCCATTGTTGCCGATTTTGCCCTCACCGTCCGCCATGGAAATGGGCCCGAAGCTTTTCTCTCCCTCTTTCACAATCTTGAGGTCTTTATGAATGGGATACAATGAGAATTGTTTGTGGATATAATAGAGATGGAGGAGTAGATTAATGACGTCATAAATTATAATGTGAATAAGACAATTATTTAGATTGCTAAATTTGTCGATCGGTTGTAACCTAAATAGAATTTTCTCGAGTTCGATCAGGTTAGGTTGTCGGGTGCTCTAATCGAGATTTTTTTAGATGATTCTGTACTATAGTTCAGCGGATGAACTTTGAGGCACCCTTAGAGTAATGCACCAGGTGCTGTAGCTAACCGAATAGCTCTAGAAGCATGTGTATAAGCTCATAATGAGGGACGTGATCTTGCTCGTAAGGGTAATGAAATTATCCATGAGGCTAAGTTATATCACATCACTAATATCAGTTACAAACCGAGTTAATTATTAGGGTTTCAAATTTAGTAAGTTTTATAAGGTGAAGTGTTGAAATTGAATTTTTCTCTTATTTTTGTCATTTTATTATTATTAATATTTTAAAAGGTTCAAATATATATATATATTTATTTATTTATTTTTTTATTTTATTTTTTTTTTTTGGGGGAAAAAAGATGACTTTCTGACCCCACACTTGTTAAATGAATTATGTACATTTTCGATTTCATCGAATTTTGAGTTTAAAACGTTTTATACTTTCGAAGTTTTTTTTGTTTTTTTCTTTTGTCATATTTTATTAATTAATTTACTAGAATTAAATTATACTTTGTCTATATATATTTATATTGAGTGGGGAATTGGGCGGAGACAGGACGGAGAATAAAATTTCGTGTCTCCGACACTATTTATTTAAAGAAAAAAAATGTAGGTAAAATGGACGTCTCTAATGACAATCTTTTTTATTACTAGATAATATCATTTACGTCGTGTGAGATTACACATCGCTTGTAGAGTAGAACGAAACATTTTTTTTATAAGGGTGTGGAAAACTCTCTCTAGCAGACACGTTTTAAAATCTTTGAGAGGAGGCCCGAAAGGAAAGGTTAAAGAGGATAATATTTGCTAGCGGTGGGCTTAAGTCGTTACAAATGGTATTAGAGCTAGGCATTGGGCGACGTGTCAGAGAGGAGGCTGAGCCCTGAAGGAGGTGGACACGAGGCGACCCGAAGGAGTGTGGATTGGTGGGTCCCACATCAATTAGAGAAGGGAACAAGTGCCAGCGAGGACGCTGGGCCCTGAAGGAGGGTGGATTGGTGGGCCCCACATCGATTGGAGAAGGAAATGAGTGCCAGCGAGGACGCTGGACCTTGAAAGAGTGTAGATTGGTGGGTCTCACATCGATTGGAGAAGGGAACGAGTGTTAACGAGGACGCTGGGACCCGAAAGAGGGTGTATTGTGAGATCCCACCTCGGTTAGGGAGAAAAACAAAACATTTTTTTATAAGGGTGTCGAAATCTCTCCCTAGCAGGCGTGTTTTAAAAATTTTGAGAGGAAGCCCAAAAGAGAAAATTCAAAGAGAGTGAGCCCCGAAGGGAGTGGACACAAGACAGTGTGCCAACAAGGACGCTAGGCCCCGAAAGAGGGTGTATTGTGAGATTCCACATCAGTTGGGGAGGAAAACGAAACATTTTTTTTTATAAGGGCGTGGAAATCCCTCCTTAACAGACGTGTTTTAAAAACCTTGAGGGGAAGCCTAAAAGAGAAAACCCAAAGAGGGTGAGCCACGAAGGGAGTGGACACGAGGCGATGTGCCAACAAGGACGTTGGGACCCGAAAGAGGGTGTATTGTGAGATCATATATCAGTTGGAGAGGAGAACGAAACATTTTTTATATAAGGGTGTCGAAATCTCTCCCTAGCAGACATGTTTTAAAAGCTTTGAGGGGAAGCCCGAAATAGAAAATCCAAAGAGGGTGAGCCACGAAGGGAGTGGACACGAGGCAGTGTGCCAACAAGGACGTTGGGCCCCGAAAGAGGGTGTATTGTGAGATCCCATATCAGTTGGAGAGGAGAACGAAACATTTTTTATATAAGGCTGTGGAAATCTATCCCTAACAGACGTGTTTTAAAAACCTTGAGAGGAAGCCCGAACAAGAAAGCGCAAAAAGGACAATATCTACTAGCAGTAGACTTGAGTCGTTACACGTCTCTTAACTGTACCGTCCCGTGGAAGGAAGAAAGAAAGAAGGTTTTATAGGAACTTGGCTTCATTTCACTTGGTATTATATCATTTCTTTATATATATATCTTCTACATGAACTCAATTCAAAATCTTTTACATGGGATTTACACAAGTAGAAGTTGAGGAGCATAATTTTCTAGCAACAACACAGCTAAAACAATGTTCATTCTTCATCAGAAGAACTGTATTTCTGCACTCTATGATGAGCTTGAAATGCTTGTGGTAATGTCGGATTCACCGGAACCGGGAATTTATGAGCCGAACTCACGATCGTCCGCTCGTTTATCGTCCCGACTTCTTTGCAAACTCCGTCCAGAACCGTTAGGAAATCTCGAACCACCATGAAAATCCTAAATGGATGAGCTTCTTCCTTGGCAGAGTTGCCATGGAAGTACTCAGTGATCTCCTTTACTAGAGATAATGCAACACTTTCCTGAGCTTGGATTCTAATCAGTTCCTCTTCTGCCATTTTCAAGAATCTACTCATCGAGTACGAGAACTTTTCCGTGCTATCGTTTCGTCCATCTGCTTCGTTGAGACGTAGAGCCTCCCTAATGTTGTTGAGTCCTCTCGAAAGCTTAACGACCTCGCCATTGAGCACGTCGGAATCCATTGAGGCAGCCTTCTTTACGTTGGTGAGCTCTGAGCTAAGACTCGAAACAACTTGCAGACCGAGTTTCCTGCATTTGATATCGTCATTCGGGTTCGAGTTTAGAGAACTCGTGTTACAAAGACGAGCGCCTTCGCTTCTTATGATTTCTTGTACGACGAAATGTAGAAGAGTGGTTTTTCCATCTGCACCCTTGACATCAACAAGTTTTAAAAGCGTGTCGAGTTTGAACGCGTGGGCATCGCCACGGTTCGTGCCAACGTTCATACGATTCCCTGTCTTGAGTACAGCTTCTAAAAGTTTCAAGAACATCCTGCTGTTCCTCAATTCTTCACAAGCAGTCTGCAATTAGAGAAAACGAATTGGCGTTTTTATAACTATCAGATCATCACAGATTCAGTAATTCTCGAGACGGGTCGACGGGTTGACGGGGTTATATAACTTACGTACCTCGAGATTTTCGAATGACTTCTTTAGGTACTCGATCTCGGACTCGAAATTTGCCATGTAAAGCATTGCATCCACCCTTTTGAATGCAAAAGGAACATCAAGGATTGCCTTCAAAAACTTCTCAGCTGGGCCAAATTTTGTAGGTGAGACATCCTTCGATGCCTTTAGCTTGCGTTCTTCTTCTTTTGTTGGAGCCATTTTCAATAAGCTTTCAAGTAGCTCTATTCCAAGTGCTTCTGCATTACCTACATTCATATCATTCAAGCTTTTATACTCACTTTTCGATCGGGATTCGACAGAATAGAGATGTTTATCGACTTGACAACATAGCTCGTGAATGTAAACGTCGGATACTCCGAAAAGAAATGTTCTTTTACTAAAGAAGATCGGAGAAACTTGTAGATTTCCTTATGGATAGTTACTAACCAAGACATATACTACAGAAAAGGCAGCAGAGAAAACTATGATTTGGCCAATGGACATGATGTGAGATTCCACGTCGGTTGGAGAGGGGAACGAAACATTTCTTATAAGGGTGTGGAAACCTCTCCCTAGTAGACGTGTTTTAAAAATTTTGAGGGGAAGCCCGGAAGGAAAAGTCCAAAGAGGACAATATCTGCTAGCGGTAGGGTTGGACTGTTACAAATGGCATTAGAGTAAGACACCGGGCGGTGTGCCAACAAGGATGTTGGGCCCTCAAGGGGGTAGATTGTGAGATCTTACATCGGTTGGAGAGGAGAACGAAACATTCCTGTTAAGGGTGTGAAAACCTCTACCTAGTAGACGTGTTTTAAAAACGTTGAGGGGAAGCCTGGGAGGGAAAACACAAAGAGGACAATATCTGCTAGTAGTGGGCTTGGGTTGTTACAAATGGTATCAAAGCCAGACACCGGGCAGTGTGCCAGCAAGGACGTTAGGCCCCCAAGGGAGATGAATTGTGAGATCCCACGTAGGTTGGAGAGGGGAACGAAACATTCTTTTTAAGAGTGTGGAAACCTCTCCCTAGTTGACGCGTTTTTAAAACTTTGAGAGGAAGCCCGAAAAGGAAAGCCTAAAGAGGACAATATCTGTTAGTAGTGGGCTTGAGCTGTTACAAATGGTATCAGAGCCAAACTTCGGGCACTGTGCCAATGAGGACGCTGGGCCCCCAAGGAGGGTGGATTGTGAGATCCCACATCGGTTGGAGAAGGGAACGAAACATTCCTTTTAAGGGTGTGGAAACCTCTCCGTAGTAGACGCGTTTTAAAAACTTTGAAGGGAAAGCCTAAAGAGAACAATATCTGCTAGCAGTGGGCTTGAGCTGTTACAAATGGTATCAGAGCCAGACTCCGGGCACTGTGCCAACGAGGACTCTAGGCCCCAAAAGGGGGTGGATTGTGAGATCTCACATTGGTTGGAGAAGGAAACGAAGCATTTCTTATAAGGATGTTCGCATACGTATTTTAAAAACCTTGAGAAGGAGCCTGGAGGGGTGGGCTCGGGCTGTTACAAATGGTATCAAAGCCAGACACCGGGTGGTGTCAGCAAGGACGCTGGCCCCCAAGGGGGGTGGATAGGGAGATCCTCTATGGAGGAGATGCGTTTTAGAAACCTTAAGGGGAAGCCCGAAAGGGAAAACCCAAAGAGAACAATATCTAGTAGTGGGCGCTGTTACACCGTATAGCACAAATTCTATCTAAAGATGCAAAACCTTTATCATGGAGCCAAGAAATCTTAACCATACCTTCTAAAAGGGCATCACAAACTTCTTCTATCGTCACATTAAGCGCTCGTAACGCAATCGCAATGTTCTGCGACTTCTTCGGATCGAGAACTCCGATCTCTTGGTTAGGTGTCGGAAACAC